CTTTAACTCTTGACAAAATTCAAGAAAATTTAAAACTTTCATTAAAGTAAAAGTGGTTTATTTACATAAATTGACCACAAAAACCAAAATCGATCAGAGCATATTTAACTCAATCAATTAATACATGCCAACTATATTCAAAATAACCAAAACCATTTAAATCATATATTTCTGATATGAATTTTGTAAGGAAGATGCTGACCTGTCTTACTCTTCTACGCTTCTCTTCTCGCTTCTGTAACCTACGTGTGAACAATCACATGCTAAGTCTATGACTTAGTTAGGCATAAAACTTATATGCACTTTATAACATATAACATACATGCATGTTCTGTTCTATCATGCTATACCCAATTACATGATTTCCATATCATGTAAAATATCAGATTAATTAACAATAAATACATACATACACATAAATCATCATTAGCATTTTCATGTAATCACATACTTTTATGCTTAACCTTTTTAATCAAACACTATACACACACAACATCATATCATTTCTATAACATTTCATATCACTAACATATTTGTTTATATCTTGATTAGCCCATGCACATATGTGAGAACTATAGATATGTGAGTCTATGGAGGTTGTGCACTAATGCTGACCGTAGTGCCGCGTAGAATTGCACCGAAGTGCATATAAGATTATCCCTAAGGACCACGTAGAAATTCCTTAAGAATATATACATATGCCAAGGATCAAGTATGTGTCTCAAAAGACCTCACACATGTTCTAAAGAATACATATATCCCGAAGGACCGCGTAGACCCTCAACTCTTGGCATGCCAACTATACCCCTAGCTCTCATGACACACAACATGGGCATTGTCATTTATATCATTTCATATTCCACATGCATATTTATTATCTTTTATCACATGTATGATCTCTTATAATCATGTAATCACATAGCTCATGCCATTTCTTATAAATCACATATCATGTAATACATATAACTTATACACTTTCTCATATGTTCACATGGGTCACATCACATGAATCATATCTTTTCATATAGTTTATATTTTATTCTCTTATATTCTCATACATGTAATACATATCATCATGGTTACACAACTCATTTCTATATAACTTGAATGTACCTATATTCTTTTTCATATACTCACTAGTCATATAGTATAATATTCATATAACCTCATGAATCACATCACATAGATACATACTCAAATACTCATAGTTACATATCACTTAAATTATTCATATTTACCTAATCCATGGCATATAGCTTCTATCACCAAGTCACTTATCTAATCTCTTATTCTCATATGTTCATATTTATCATATAACAAATAAGTTTTTATTGCATATTTATATCACATTCCTACATCACTAATTCTAATATAATTTACATCATATCACTACCTTATTATGTATTCTTGGTATGCACTTACATTATACTTATAAACATGAATATATTACTTCTATATTTCCAATTTAATCTATTTACTTAATTTAATTCCATACAACTCATATAATCATTTCATATCACTCCATAGCTTTTATTATACAACTAATGTATCATAATTTTATTTAAGCATATGAATCTTTCTCCCTCTATCTTATCTATATGCTCAGTATCACTGAAGTTCAAGTCTCCTAGTTAATATATTATTTATGTAACCTTTGCTTACTTAGTTCATATCATTTCTCATAAACTCACTTTTACCATATTCTCATATTATTACTTAAATTATCTCATATCATGTATTTAGTAATATTTCATTTATATATATCAAAGATCTTATCGTATAACTTATCTTTTATATTCATATAATTTATTATCATTTCATATGTTTATATCATAATAACATAGCACATATTCACATCAACCATATAATACATATACAATAACATGTCAACACATTTAAATCATACACAGATACTTCTATTTATGAATTCATGCATTTTACTATGGAAAATAGACTTGTCACAAGTCTTATTTCCATTTAACATCATATACTACTAATATGCTCTCACCTGGCCTCACTAGTCAATTCCAATCTCTTATCTTCCCTTTTATCGATCTTACTTGCCAATGATTCCGGAACTCGTTTAGGCTCTGAATCTACATAATTATATATTTTAAGACAATTATTAGATACCTACACCTTGTAATTTGATATTACAACTTAACGAACTTATTAACCAATATTTACAATTTTCCTTTAGGGGGAATCGATTCCCTCCTGTGGGGTATCGGTTCCCCATGTCATTCTGGAATTTTTTTTGTTCGTTTGAAGGGGTATCGTTCCTCTTGAATGGGTACTGATTCCCCTAACCCAAAAATTACATTTTCAACACGAAAATACTTTATTTCAACTTAAACACTTCCTATTTCAACCTCTTTTATATACTAAACTCAAACACTCATACTTAAGCCCATTTGTACTCATTTATCCAATCTTAATTCTCAAAAACCTCTCCTCTTATGAAATTCAATAATCATACTCAAATTTCAACATGTTCTAAATTCCTTTCTATCACTCCAAATCTCTTAATTCAACTATTGATAAGTCAAATTTAACTTCAATTCCACTTATCAATTCTTTTCCAAAATTTCATATAAAACTCCAAATCTTTAATCTCCCTTAACCCCTCCATTCTTGATTTTACCGTAACCCAAGCTTTCCTTAAGTTTATCCATCAACTAAAGATCAAAACCAAACTTAAAATTCAAATAATAATCAACTATAAAACTCTCACCTTTGCCTTGATCTCCCATGTATGAAAGAAGAAAGGAAGAGAACTCTGGATGTTTCTCATATTTCCCACGTTTATATTACTCAAAAAGGGAAGATAAAAATCTTTCCTACGAAAGACCATTTTACCCATTTAGTTAATCCATCTTTACTATTTAATCCAAAATCCTTTACTTAAGTCCCTGAACTTTAGCTTATTCGGAATTGAGCACAAAGTTTCCAATTTTACATTTTAGTCACTGACCCGCTTTTGGGATGTTACAATTCTTCCTCCATTTTTTCTTTGTAAATAAAAAGCTATAAAACATAACATTGCTTGGGTTTACAATTTTACATGGCAGAAACTTAATAACAAAAACCAAATGAGAGTGCATGTGAGCGAAAGAGACTGAGAGGTCAAGGCGCTGTTTGGGATTTCATTATATTTGATCATCTGTTGGAAAATCTTTAACCACAATGATTAAACGAAGAAATTATTATATGTCATTTATACAAAATAATTCTGGTTTCGTTGGTGACTTTCAAAAATGATACTTAGTTCATCTTAGTAGTATTTGTCAACTCTGCATTTCTAACCTCATTTTTTTCTCACTAGCATTTCTTCGAACATCTATGCTTCACCTGAGATGACATGTATCTAACATTATACTTTGAATCATTGATGGTTCCGATAGTCCCTTGGTCGGGTCTTCTCTCAATGGCCCCTTATTCAAGTCAATACCTCCACATAATTCAAAGTTAGATTAGAATTTCACATGCATCCACGACTGAAAATTTACGCTGAAAATGAAGAGAGAAGGGAAAAAGGAAATTCGAGATCAAAAAGGAATTAGGGTTTAGAATGAAATTGAGGACTGTTGCAAGTTTTAAATGTTGGGGACCTAAATGCAAGCGTCTAAAAAGTTCAGTGACCATATTGTAAACGTACTAATGGCAGTGTAACGGCATTAAACGGCCGGTTACGTCGGGGACCATATTGCAAATGGACTAAATGTTGGAGGACTGTATTGCAAATTTTAAAAGTTGGGGACCTAAATGCAAGCTTCAGAAAAGTTGTGTGTGTGTGTGTGTGAGTGAGTGAGGGAGAGAGAGAGAGAGAGAGAGAGAGAGAGAGAGAGAGAGAGAGAGAGAGAGAGAGAGAGAGAGAGAGAGAGAGAAGAGAGAGAGAGAGATAGAGAGAGAGAGACGTATGAGATATGATGTGTTTGGTTTTGGATGGACTTGTTTGATTTTTGCTTTCAAAATTAAATAACTTTGATGGGTTTTTTGTATGATTAGGATCTTAACCAAACATTTCCCTCCTAATTTTGAGTTGATTTCAAGTAATTGACTATTCTAATTTTTGGTGGGGAAGTAGGGTTGAATTAGCACAAATATATTTTTGAACTTTAAGTAAGTAATTTGATTATTTTATAATTTGGTTCTTCGTTTTCTTATTTCTTTAATTTTTCATTAATTTTAAGTTTATTTTTAGTCGAATTCGAGTCACATGTTCTTCAATCACTATAAAATATGCACATAATTTCAAATTTTATTTTCAAAAACAAATTTTCTATTTTCATTTTAACCTCACTTTGCATGATTTTATTTTTCTTTTTCTTTTTCAACTCATCATTTGTTTTTAGTTCATTTTTATCAAATTTGAATCACATGTTTTTCTTTCATTCTAGAATACTTACGTACTTTAATTAATTACTCTTTTTGACAATAAATATCCTCTTATAGCAATTCGGTCTTTCTACTTTATATTTTATTCAATTTGATTGTTGAATGTCCCTTTGCAATGTTTTTCTTCCAATTTCTTGACTCTTTTATACAACTCATTGATACTTTATGTTATCAAGATATTTTATTTAAAAAATAACATTATAAATAATATTATATAATTTTAGATAGTAATTGAATTATTGAATAACATCACAAATCATAATTACACACGTTATAAGGAATATGAAAAATATATAGTATCACATGGTTAGAGAGAATGACTTAAATTAGAATCAATCAATCATAATATTAAAAATGGTTACATTTAAATTTATATAGAAACTCGAATAGATGTATTCAATTCAAATTTGATAAACTCGACCAACTAAAAAAATCAAATGATAAAATGATACTCGTAAAATTATCTAGTTCAAATTATGTTCGATCGACTCGATTGAATACTCGTCTCTAATTCAAATAAAAGTAATACGATAATATCATTTTCCTTGCACTTCCTAGGTAAACTTGATTCTAACTTTATTGCAAAGGATAAATTCAACTTATTCCAAGAAGAAGAAGAAGAAAAGGCTTAATTTATTTAAAACCGACAGGAGAAATATACAGCATACTATAAGAAAGGCATTGAAAGGAGAAGAGGTCAGAAAGCAAAAGTCTTGGAGGTGGGAGAATCGGCAATCTTGAGGGTGCGTTCGATGAGCTTCCTTGCTTTCCTGCTCCTGATTTCGACCCTCATGCTCTCGCTCTTCTCGACCTTGTCATAATCTTTCTTCATCGTCTTCAAGCTCCTGAGTTTGGATTTCAAGCTCACCACCATTCTTCCTATGCCCATCATCACCATTCTTCCTGTTGATTAGAGAGAAAGACCCAAAGGGAGCAGAAAGAGGAATTTACCTCGAGAAAGAGTTTGAGAAGAAAAATGGAAAGGAGAGGGAGAGAGTAATAAGTATGTGCAATTTGGGAGGTAAGAAGGCATACCACGCATTTCTTAACGTCTCTTTTCTTCTTTCATGCCTTGCTTTCACTGTCCTCTCCTCACAAAATTAATATGGCTCGCACTAACCCTGATATTTATTGTGTGGGCTTCAAGTTGACTTATTGGGCTTTCAAGTAGTGTTAATTTTGCAACCGTGAGCTAGAATTAGCGATGGAAGCAGGTCAGTTTGGGTCGAGTTTTTGACCAAATCGACTCTGTCTATAAAATATGCACCCTTCATCTGAATTTGATTTAATTTAAAAAATATACTTTCTATTCGATTCGATCCAAAGAACATATATCTTATCCTAGTTCGACCCAACTCAAATTTTGAAGCATAAACTCGATTTGACCTTATATAAAATAAGATCCTAATTAAAAAACTATAGATAGAGGGTGTATTATAGTAAATTTCATAAATTATATGAGAAATTATATTATTACCTAAGGGTTGGAGATTTCTCACCCTCCACTTAAACCTGATCCCACCCTATATAAAATCCGACTCATACTTGATTTTTTTATTATAAAAATCTATCCTATCAAATCGAATAAGATGAGAATTCATTGATTTTAAGTTAAATTACCATCCAGAATTAGACACATCAAAAAGCTCAAGTACAAGTGAACGAGATTAGGGCATATCATATAAATAATAGGGTGATTATACTATTAATCACTAACATTACTTAAATTAATCATTGATATCTGATCTATTGACCGACTAATCCATATCGAATACTGCATAGACAAGGGTGACCCTCCTAACCCAATTTACTCTATTCGCAAACACCAAGATTCGAGTCTCTAACTTTACTTAAGAAATATAGTACAACGTAATACGTCAACTATATTCGACCACCATATTAACTATAAATAGTTCTTCATTTTCCTGTCATTATCCCAATCCACCATTAATTTCATTAAACTTCACCATTGATCATTTAGTTACATCCTAAAATCGCAAACATCATGTTAAAATTCTCGATTGAATCTTTTTCTACACCGTTAACCTCCTCGTCCATTGTCCAATTGCAACATCAACAACTCTCATCATCAATGATTGTAGTCATTATCAACAATCAATCATTAACACTACACCATTCTCATCGTTACATTAACACACAAAATATAACTATAACCTTTGTTACCATTCCATCTAAAATTTCAGTTTTCATCTGTCATCAATTTCATTTAATCATTACTACACCCAAGCCTTTACTATAATGATCTTCAAACTGTTCTCCATGATAAATTTCAAACCAATAATTCATCAGTTATTTGTGAATATTAATTTTTGTCTTGGCCCTTCATTAGGCCCAAATATAAATTTGGTCCAAACCTAAACCGAATTAAATTTCAAAACGAACCAAGCCTAATCCTAGCCCGAAACTTGGTCAGAATTAAACCCAAACTAGACATGACCCAAAGCAAATGTCCAGCCCAGATACAACTAACCCTTTACCAAAATTCGAGTGCGACCTGTTTGACCCAGATTTACTATCCCCAACTAAACAGTGGTTTACAATTCAAAGATAATTTCAATATATACTTATATCAATATCAAGTAAATGATTTTAGTGATTAAAGGGATGATTGTTATTTTTTAGAGGTTTCAGGTTTAAACAAGGTGTTTGGGCGTTTGATGTTGAATGATTGAGAGCGTGTATAACATATAATTTATTAATATCATTATTTTAAATATAATTATAGAATAAAGAATGATTGATAAGGAAAAAGCAAGAACCAAGTCGCTAGCTTGTAAAAACCGTGTTGAATACAGGGAGAAGACTCAAGGAACAAGTGTTCTCCTCTTCCCATTTTGCTTACCTCTTAAGCATTCACAACCAATGTTCCTTCCTTTGCCCTCTAATCCATGTTTATCATATTCCAAAATTGTTGTTGTCATTTTCTTATAAATATTTTACTAATTATTATTTATTATACAATTGATATACAATTTATTTATTATAGAATAAAAATTAATATTTAGAACTTTAAAATTTAAATATTACCGTCAAATCTCAAAACATAAAAACTTATATAACTAAAAGTTACGGCGTAAATGTATCAGATATTTTGTTGATGATTATCAATTTCAAATAATTTAATGAGAAAATTTGAAATGTTAGACAATTTGGAATCATAGCAAACCCTTGTTCATCGTCTTCCCCTTAACTTGGAATACAAATCAACCTTGTTTGGATTTGATGATATGCTTTCGTAAATTATTGAAATACATGCATAGCCTGCAAGCAAGTCCCTGCCGATGATTAGGGTTCACCAAACTTGCAAAAAAAAAAGGCAATTAGAGAGGGTCGAACTACCCCCTATTTCCGCCCACTTCCCATCCACCCGTACTTCAAGTTATGTTGAAAAAACTCGAGAGACGGGTCAAGACATTAATCACCAAGCCATTACAAAAGCCAAAGAAACTTCATAAACCCCCAACATCACCAGCCTCTCCTCCTCCGCCTCCGCCCATGGCTCCTCAAATTCCCCAAAAAACCGGTCCTTTCCTCTTCCCCAACGTCCAATCCTCCGTCGTCCCCGACCCTTCACGTTTCTTCTCCCCGAAGCTCCTCTCGTCCCCTCTCCCCACGAATTCCTTCTTCCAGAACTTCACTCTAAAAACGGCGACCAACCCGAATACATCCACCCTTATCTCATCAAATCGGCCGACTCTTCCCTTTCCATCTCCTACCCATCTCAGTTCGACAACCCTTCTTTCATTTACCAAATTTTCGTCCCTGATCTTACCGTCTCTGCTGCTGATAGAACCGGCCCAGCCCATGTGATCTCTTCTTACAGTGATCTCAGTGTTACTTTGGATTTCCCCTCTTCGAACCTCCGGTTCTTTCTCGTCCGAGGTAGTCCCTTTTTGACCTGCTCCGTAACGGGGAATACTCCTGTATCGATATCTACTGTTCATGCGATTCTCTCGTTTTCTTCGAATAGTTTGCTCACCAAGCATACCGTTCAGCTCAACAACGGTCAAACATGGCTTATATATACATCGTCGTCTCTCAGTTTGAATCATGGTCTTTCTTCCATCGGTTCCGGTGGGTTTTCGGGTATAATTCGGATTGCGGTGCTGCCCAGTTCTGATCCGATGTATGAATCCGTCCTTGATCAGTTCAGTTCCTGCTACCCGACCTCAGGTGATGCGGTTTTGAATAAACCGCTTTGTTTGGAATATACATGGGAAAAGAAGGGATGGGGTGATTTGCTTATGCTTGCGCACCGCTTCATCTTGATATTTTAGCCGGTGATTGTTGTGATGTTATGGTTTTAGAGAATTTTAAGTATAAAGTATTGATGGGGAGCTCGTTGGTGTTGTTGGTGATTCGTGGGTGTTGAAACCGCACCAGGTTTCGGTTACTTGGCATTCGATTAAAGGGGTTGACGAAGAATCGTATGCCGAGATTGTGGCTGCTCTTGTGAAGGACGTTGAGGCGTTGGATTCGTCAGCGATAACGACGACATCGTCTTATTTTTACGGGAAGTTGATTGCAAGAGCAGCGAGATTGGCGTTGATCGCTGAAGAAGTAAGCTATATTGATGTGATTCCTGCGATAAGGAAGTTCTTGAAGGATACAATTGAGCCCTGGCTGGATGGAACTTTCAATGGGAATGGTTTTCTGTATGAATCGAAATGGGGTGGCATTGTGACTAAACAAGGCTCGGCTGATTCCGGGGCGGATTTCGGTTTCGGTGTTTACAACGATCACCATTATCACATTGGTTACTTCCTTTACGGAATAGCTGTCTTGGCCAAGATTGATCCGGCTTGGGGAAGGAGGTATAAGCCACAAGCCTACTCACTCGTGGCAGATTTCATGAACCTTGGCAGGCGACCGAATTCGAATTATCCGCGTCTGAGGTGTTTTGATTTGTACAACTGCATTCTTGGCGGGAGGGTTGACTGAATTCGCCGACGGAAGGAACCAAGAAAGCACTAGTGAAGCAGTGAATGCATATTACTCTGCTGCACTAATGGGGTTAGCCTACGGTGACAGTCATCTTGTTGCAATCGGATCGGCACTCATGGCATTCGAGATTCAAGCGGCGCAAACATGGTGGCATGTGAAGGAAGGAGATAATCTGTACGGAGACGAATTCACAATCGAGAACCGAGTCGTGGGAGTGTTATGGGCCAACAAGAGGGACAGTGCCCTTTGGTTTGCCCCACCTGACTGGAGAGAATGCCGGCTCGGGATCCAATTGCTACCCATATTGCCTATCAGCGAGGTGCTGTTCTCCGATATCGGGTTCACGAGAGAGCTCGTGAACTGGACGTTACCGGCACTGGGAAGGGATGGCGTGGGAGAGGGATGGAAAGGGTTTGTGTATGCAATGGAAGCAATTACGACAAAGAGAGTGCTCTGGAGAAGATAAAGAAGCTGAATGGTCATGATGATGGGAATTCACTCACTAATCTCCTGTGGGGGTTCACAGCAGAGGCAACGAACACGAAATTGAACACGGTGCAGGGGGGAAATATTGCTGGTTTACCCACTACTGTGATTGATTTCATTTGTGTTATGTATCTGATTTCATTGGAATAAACCAGCTACTGTTGCTTAATACTATGTAAGATGCTTGCTTGCACCAAATGATCTCTCTCTATATGAAAATACATAGTTTGATTAAAAAGCTCTCTTTTTTTTTCCTAGTTGCTCTCAACTTTCCGATCAAGTTAATTAACCAACACATATCTGTTCGTCAAATGTGAATTAATTAGTCGTTTTCAAATGGATCTATGTATTATCTTCATATAATGAACATGATTGACCTGTCCCTTACAAGAACGAATTCATCAAATAATTTAATGAGCTAATCACGACTAGCCATCGTTTCCGGGTTGACAAATTGATCGGAATCGCCTGTCACGTGTTCTTTTAATACGCTAAGTTATGGGTCGTTCTGCGGTGCGGCGCCTAAAAAACGGCTAATATACGGCGTGACCGGTTAAACAAGTGACCGGTTAAAATTTAGACCGGTTATGTTATATTATTTAACCGGAATTATTATAAAGTACA